TGGTGAAAATGATAAGGATTTTGCATTTTGAGTAAATAATAGACATGCTTAATGTGTATGAATTCCCTTCCTGTGCTGGGATTTTGAGTGATGGAGAAAGAAGTGGCTTCTAAACCATGTTCCCTGCTTCTGTGCTTGACATGTAGTATCAGGTTCCTCACAGTTCAGCCTGTTGTGAAGTTAATATTTTACAAATGACATATTAAAATTAAACCCACTAAAATAGACTTTTAAAAATTAAAGTGCATGGCAGATAGTATGGGTAGAAATTGATTTGTGAAACGTTTATTAATTTCTATCTATAAACCTATGTATATACTGTGTGATCATAAAAAAAAAAGATATCTTCAGTGCAACACTGACAATTTATTTCTTTTGCTTTGAATACACTATTACCATCCTGAGCTTTAAGATCAAGTCCAGCCACTAGCAAGACATGGAAGATGTTACACATCCAGCACCTGTTTTTCTCTATGGATTCATCTTCTGCCATTAGATTTGCCAGATCTCAAGATTCTTGTTCTTGGAGTCACTTCTTCCTGATCTCTCCTCTGACATAATTTCTTAAAACCTTTTGAAGGCCACCAGAGAGGCCTATTTTCACACTGATAACAAAGAAGTTGTGGAAAAAGTTTTCAGTAGCGTTCAACTCTTAATATTCCTAGCTATTCTAAGTTCCTTGCGAGTCCTTTAACTTCAGGTGTTTCTCAGCCCTCAACAGTTCCCATATTGCACCTTCCTTGGGTTCACTTCACCCCACATCCTGTTCTTTGGTTAACCCTTCCTAACCTTTCCAGGACTAGCTCAGGCTTCCCTTGAAGCAGAAATGTGTGTGTGTGTGTGTGTGTGTGTGTGAAGTTAATAACACAGACTCTGACATATTCTCTCTGTGTAACCTTGAGCATCTCAATTTAATTAGCTGATCAACACTTACCCCTGGAAAAAATGTTATACTTATGGCAACTTTAGAAGGAGAGATCTTTGTAACCATGATAGATAATCTTCAGTTCAGTTCAGTTCAGTTGTTCAGTTGTGTCCAACTCTTTGTGATCCCATGAATCGCAGCACACCAGGCCTCCCTGTCCATCACCAACTCCTGGAGTTTACTCAAACTCATGCCCATCGAGTCGGTGATGCCATCCAGCCATCTCATCCTCCGTCATCCCCTTCTCCTCCTGCCCCCAATCCCTCCCAGCATGAGGGTCTTTTCCAATGAGTCAGCTCTTCACATCAGGTGGCCAAAGTATTGGAGTTTCAGCTTTAGCATCAGTCCTTCCAATGAACACCCAGGACTAATCTCCTTTAGGATGGACTGGTTGGATCTCCTTGCAGTCCAAGGGACTCTCAAGAGTCTTCTCCAACACCACAGTTCAAAAGCATCAATTTTTCGGCGCTCAGCTTTTTCCACAGTCCAACTCTCACATCCATACATGACCACTGGAAAAACCATAGCCTTGACCAGACGGACCTTTGTTGGCAAAGTAATGTCTCTGCTTTTTAATATGCTATCTTAGTTACTAATAAATTTCCTAGTCTCTTTACTTCTGATCATGAATAGACTGTTGAGCAGTCTGTTTCTCTATAACATTCATTGCATTACTCTGGAATCATCTCTCCTTGAGATTATATATGTATTTAAGGTCTTGGAAATGTCTCAAAGAATAATCATTATGTGAATGAATGAAAACAAACATCTTAACAGTTTTAACCAATGCAAAAACATTATTGCATTTTATTTTAATTCTGTAAGTGTTTATATTTAAAAGTTATAATAAAATCTTTGGCTAAAATCTATATAATCATTTGAATTTTGCCATATGATAGGAGTTTGCTCAAACCGAGCTATCTTATTTATTTTTTTGGTTGAAATAAAGTTTAGTTAGTGTATACAATGATATTAGCGATACTTGTTTATCATGAAAAATGGGAAGAATCATTAATTTAAAATAGCACAAGTCACAAAAGAATTTACATCCGGAGAGGATAAAAGCTACATTTGGTTTATATTCTTCTACATATTTTCTGTGTGTGATTCATAACAGCAGGACCTACAGACATGCCCTAACCAGGCTGCACTGTGTCTGCAGAGAAAACTCGTCTGTCAAGTATTATGCCTGCTATCTGGTTTATAGTTATTTAACTTTTTATATTGCAGTGGTTTTAGGATCCAGTGGGCATTGGAGCCTTTTCAGTTCCAGGCCAAGTTTACTCTGTAAGCATGACTGCAAAGAGGAAAGGCTGGCACGGTCTGTTTTCAGATGTCCTTGTGAGCAATTGTATTGCTCTGGGTGGCTCCGATGGGCATGCCTGCTCCTCCTTCTGAAGCTTGTCCAAGCTTATCAAACTCAGACTTATCCTGTGTGTCCAAATGATACTGCTTCCATAGTGAAAGCTGATAAATCCATTCTCTTCACTGCCACGCGGTGTTCTTTATAATTCTCTTTTGGAATATTATGCCTTGTGTTATGCTGATTTACGCATCTTTGTTCATCTCTTCAGCTGTATTACAAACTCACAAAGCTCACAAAGGCAAAAATATTCTTTCCTTCTTTATGTTATCTCATTTTCTAATAACAACATGAAATGTGAAGAAAGGAAAGAATTCAAAGTAGGTTCCAGAACTATAGGGTTTTTGCATATTTCAATGTAAACAGGTAGAACAAGAAGGTCCACTTGGTCATTTAATATTTAGCATCTTCAACTCTATAATTCTTTCAGTAAAACTTATTTTGAAATGAATTAATATAAAACATTTTTTTTTTCTCAAAGCAAGTGTGTATACCTTGGCTGGAATCATTTTAAAGCAAAAAAACCTCTCATTGGGTATTATTGCTTTAATTTTGCACAGAATTGCATTTAAAAAGAAATGTAAACAGTTGTCCATTTTATAAAGACAAAGTCTGGAATGTATTTTTTCTTTTTATTTTCTTTAAAAGACATTTTGACCTTCCTATGAAGCTCAGCTAGAGAAGACATTGGCAAAACTTTGTATGTCCTCATACATAGCTTTTGATGAGAATTTAATAAGACAGAAAACAGTACCTTGCCAAGTATTAACTTTAAATCTTATTTACTTTAGAATTTCAAGATTTATGGAATACCAAAAAACCCAGGGAGATGACTCACAAAGAACTGGAGCCTTCTAGTTTCCTACACTCTTTCAAAGTCTTAGTTATTCAACTTTGCTACATACTGCCATGACTGATACCGAGATCAACCCATGAATTAACATAAATTAATCTGTTTCTTTTGGCTTCTCACCCCAAATGGTTAATCATTCGCTGGTTATCATGTGGAAATGGACTATTTAAAAGCAGTGGCATTGCTCTTTTAAATTACAAAGACGATATCTGTATTTAATCAGAGAATTACTCAACTACGGGAATGCAAATATAGTTTTTCTCTTTGTATTTTTAAATTATGAAAATAAGATAACATATTTACAGGAGACTTAGAAAATACAGAACAAAGTTTCATAGAGTTCCATTATATAATACAATTATTTTTAAGTAGATAAATTAAGATTTTTGTTGGAGTTTCAATATCAAGCTCTCAAAAATTAGTAGAATGAATATACAGAAAAGTAGAAGGATATTGCAGACCTGAAAACCACCATGAACCAGTTTAATATAATTAAGATTTATACAATTTTCACACAACAGTAGGAGGCAAATGCTACTCAAGTTCCCATAGACTGTAGACTAGGAGACACTGGAACACACCAGGGACATAAAACAAGTGTAAAAAGTTAATGGTGTAAAGGTATTGAAATCATAGAGTCTGTTCTCTTATCACTGTGGAATTATGTTAAAAATCAATATCAAAAGATATTTTAAAATAATCCACATATTTTCAAGTGCAATGTGACATTTACCAGGAGAGATCTTTGACTTAGCCATTGAGAGCCTCAGTAAAGTTAGAAGCCTGAAAAAACACAGGGTGATTGCTGAGATGACACCAGCCCAGGTTGGATGCATGAGACAAGTGCTCGGGCTGGTGCACTGGGAAGACCCAGGGGGATCGGGTAGAGAGGGAGGTGGGAGGGGGGATCGGGATGGGGAATACATGTAAATCCATGGCTGATTCATGTCAATGTATGACAAAAACCACTACAATATTGTAAAGTAATTAGCCTCCAACTAATGAAAAAAAAAAGAAATTGATGTCAAGATGAGAAAATACCAAAGATCCTTTAAAAACCTCATGTATTTGGAAATTAAATATCCACTTTTAAATGATGGGTGTATCTAAGAAGGCATAGCAAGGAAAATTAGAAAATATTTGTAATGAAATACCAATGAAAAGAGAATTTACCAGAATTTGTTGCATGCAGCGGAAGCTGGCTCATTACACAACTAAATACAATGTGGAATCTTGAATAATGTATAAAAACAAAGAATGAACACTAGCATAAAATTTTGGTAAATTTGAACCAAATTTGTACTTTAGTTAATAACACTGTATCACACGTTAATTTCCTGTTTTTTTTTTTTTAACAACATAGCAAATACAGTTTTTAAAAGAAACAATTCTATGGTTTAGAATGAAAATATACTTCATTTATTTCCTGTGTGTCAACCCCTTTTCCATCTTATCTGTGTTTTGAAATACTTACTGACTATTACTATTCGAATCTCAATTACCCACATCCTAGCATTCTAAGAGTCTCCTGTTTGGATGCTTTAGTTGAGACTTACTTGTGAAGCACAAAACCAGTTTGGTTTTATGGTAAGTAGGTGGGTTGCTAATCCGTAAGAATGCCATTCTTGATCAGGCCTCTATGAATTGTTTGTAAGTACCAAATCAGACAATGCAGTCTTTATATTCATCCTGCAATTAGCCAAAATTATTCTAGTTATAGTCCAGTTAAAGATCTCTAGTATGAAATGAATGTTAAGTATTCATTCTTTCTTTATATTTCTCTCTGACTTCATTCTAGCTCATTTATGTATTTAAAAATAATCTTCTAAGTTACTTTTTCACTGCTTTTCATGTTGCAGATTGAAAATGTTGATGTCTGCCTTAGTTTTCTAGCAGCCAGAGGAGTAAATGTTCAAGGTCTATCTGCTGAAGGTAAGAAAAAGCACAATTGTCACAAATGGCATCTGTGAAAGATGCCATTTGAAAGACTTTTTATAACACTAGAAATGTCAAGTGACAGTATATAGGCCCTTAATATAGAAAAGGAAATTAGTAAAGTTTCCAAAATAATAGAAACATAAGTTCTGTGGTTATTAATGTATGCTTTCTTTATATAGCTATGTTCCAGATTTTGTCAAAGTTATTCTTTACATTACTGAGTATATGAAAGGGGGACATATTAACAAAATATCTTTATGTTATAAAGAGTAAGTAGTACTTTCAGAATATTAAGTAGATGGATGAATAGATAATGCTAGGTAATAGATGAACATAAATGCAGTTAAATGGTGTAATTAATGCTTAAATATTGTTTTATCAATAACAATTCTATAATTTGATCAAGTTAGTAATCCAAGTCTAAATATTTGTTAAGTTTAATGAAGTCCTTGGGAGTTCTTCAGTGATTAGTATTAATAATTGTTCTTTGTAAAGGCCTTAACATTTTTAAAAGTTTAAAAGATCATCACTGACATTGAAATATAGAAAACAGGAAAAAGACAACTAAATCTGTCACTTTTTTTCCCTGCATTCTTTTTCTTCAACATATATTTTTAGGAAACCTTTTCAAAATTATCAAGTAGTAGTAGTAACAAAAACAATTGCTAAAGTTATGATACATCAATTCCTTTGAGATCTATATCAGCAACAAGCATTTTTTAAGTTAGAATTTTAATTATATTACATTAATCACTTCTGGCAATTTATGTTACTTAATGTTTCTACTACAGTCAATTTACTCAGCAAAGCCTTCCCCACCCCCACAGATAGTAGAAATGTTAGATAGTTCTAAGTTTTACAAGTTTTACTGCCATTGGAAAAGTAGGAATCGTGTGACATCTGAAATATTATGAACATGAACTAGGATTATTTACTTTTCTTAATTTTTCTGCACTGTTTAAATTTTATTTTGAATTTCTTCTATCCTTTATATGTTTATGTCATGATGTTTAATATTAAATTATATATTTAATGGCCAAAACTTAGGTTCAAACCTAACTCACAGTTCTGTTACTTAGAATAATATATGATAAAATTATCCAGGATGATACTTTACTTTCTAAGAGGTTAAAAGTAGGTGAGAAATGTTACTATTTGTTGGTTTTATGTCTCTTCCTTTTAACATGACATCTTTTATTAACATAAACCTGTTGCTTTTTATTTATCTCCTAAAAATATTTGAATAGTCAAAATGATTTTCTGTATTTATTAAGCATGAATAGTAATAAAACAAGAAGTTTAAAGAATATCATTCAATAGATTTCACAGGAGAAAATTAATACTTTCAGGTTCATACAAGAAAATTTATACTTTCTCACTGTAGCTTTATATTGATGAAGCCTATACTTATGGCCCCTGTGAGGAAGGTTAGGGGTTATAATAACTCAGCCTTATTTTATATGAATAATTCCACTGCATAGTGTGTGTGTGACATTATAAACCATCAGAGAGCAAGAAATTTAAGTAGTTTATTAATGTTTCTAAATTCCGAAAAAGAGGTGTAAAACCTTGACCTCACAAGAGGATATATTTTATTGCCAATGGCAAGTTTCATTTAAAGTATGATTATAGGTTGCATAGCATTATATCCAACTTTACTGGCCTCTCTTTTTCTAATTCTAAAATTATAACTCCAGAAGAAAAAACTAGCTCATGTTGTGGCCTACTTTTTACATTTAATCTTTTCTTCAATGTTAGAAAAACTTTCACAGGAGCCTCATGTTTTAGAACTAGAAATTCTACTTATTCTATTATGCTTAATCTACTTACACTGTTATGCATGCATAATCATGCATCTAAAGTCATGCATAAAGTAATCTTAATTATTTCTTAATATGTAATATGAATTAAAAATAAAAGAATCGTAGCATTAAAGTGGATAACTATGGTGCCATCTGCTCTTTGGAGGACACATACATAGTTTTTTAATAAATTGGTTGGTGGGTGATTTAGAATACTGCTAACAGTTATGAGGTACACCCATATAGCATCAGTGGAGAAGGCAATGGCACCCCACTCCAGTACTCTTGCTGGAAAATCCCATGGACGGAGGAGCCTGGCAGGCTGCAGCCCATGGGGTTGCAGAGTCGGACACTACTGAGCGACTTCACTTTCACTTTTCTCCTTCACACATTGGAGAAGGAAATGGCAACCCACTCCAGTGTTTTTGCCTGGAGAATCCCAGGGATGGGGGAGCCTGGTGGACTGCCGTCTATGGGGTCGCACAGAGTCGGACACGACTGAAGTGACTTAGCAGCAGCATATAGCATCAGTATTTGTAATGCAGGGCACTGAGCATTTGAGTGGCTTTCTTTCTCTAGCTCATAGGCATCCCTCTGCTGGTAACAGCTGTGTGCATTTGTGAGGGAAAATATGTGTGTAGGCATGAGCTCAGTCATGTCAGACTCTTTTGAGACCCCAGTGAACTGTAGACCACCAGGCTCCTCTGTCCAACCGATGTCCCAAGCAAGAATACTGGGGTGGATTGCCATTTCCTTCTCCAGGAGTTCTTCCTGACCCAGGGATCGAACCTGTGTCTCCTGAGTCTCTTGCATTGGCAGGCAGGTTCTTTACCACTGTCCCACCTGGGAAGCCCATTTATGAGAGAGACAGAATGATAAATCAAATGATGAATGCAAGACAGAGCGCCTGTCCATCTGCATGAAGAAGCTAACTCGAGAAAAACTGTAGTTCAGGGTCAACAAAGAGCATCCCTTGAGTAAGCTTTGTTCTCTCTCTGAAATTTCTAAGCTATGTAAAAAATGTTAACATGTTTTAGAAAATCAGACTTGAATGTGTGACTGAGAAAACCAAGTCTTATTTCTATCTTCAAAGATTTAGTCTATTTAGAGTCTATTAGAAGCAATTTACAGTACTGCTTCTAGAATTTCTTTTGTTAAAAGAAATCATTTTATATGATCCTGTTTTTATATTTTCCGCTTGATACAGAAATAAGAAATGGAAACTTAAAAGCCATTCTAGGGCTGTTTTTCAGTTTATCTCGCTATAAGCAGCAGCAGCACCATCAGCAGCAGTATTACCAGTCCTTGGTGGAGCTGCAACAGCGGGTCACCCACGCCTCCCCTCAAGCAGAAGCCAGCCAGGCCAAAACCCAGCAAGATATGCAGCCCAGGTAAGGGAGGGAGGCGGGGGATGTGTTGAAAATGAATTTACATCAATGGGAGTCTGTGGGAGCATGTAGACACAGCCAGGGTGGGATGCTGGCAACTGGTTTTTAATAAGTTTTTGTCTGTGAATTTGGTCACCGTATTTATGTAGTTGTATCAATGCGATGTGATTATTTGACTAATGTTATAGAATTTAAAACCTCTTCTGCTTGGATGACCAACATTTGTCCACTTTTTAGGTGAAATATTTGTGTTTGTTTTCTAAAGGTGATTGTGGTTTGTATCGAAATGTGTGAAGTGTCTTTCTTGTAAGCTGTGTGTCACAGTTACTTGCTTCTAAAAACTATTATTTAGAATGTACCTTTGGAGTCTTGGTCTCCAGTTGTATAGTTTTCTTTTGTCAGTGCTTCTGATTGATTAAATCATTAAATCTGTCAAAAAGTTTAGGTCTGTTAAACATAGGAGTTTGAGTGTTTGGGAACATGCTGTTCTGATGTGAGACTGTATGTGTGAACACGTGTGTATATGTGTATGTGTGTATTTATATAGACTGGTTATGTTTGTCTCACTTGAGTCTGTGGGTACATGTAGACATAGCCAGGATCGAGTGCTGACAAACCATTACAACATCCTTTACTCTTTCATTACTGTTTTTTTCAGTTTGGAATTACATCAGTCATGATTCAGCCAGAGAAGCAGAATCAGTAAAAAATAGTGTTAACAGATTCATTGTAAAGAATTGATTCACATGATTGTGTGGCTGGCAAGGCAAATCTGAAGCCAAACGGCAGCCCAAAAGAAAGGACAGGCTGAGACTGTTAGCGTGAGCCAAAACTGCTATAAACAGGTGGAGTTTCATCTCTCAAGGAGGCCGCACTCCTGCTTTTAAGACTGTTCAAGGAGTGAATTGGGCCTAATATCATAGTGATAATCTAGGATAATCTCCTTTACTTAAAGTCAAATGCTATGGATTTAGACCACATCCACAAAACGCTTTCACAGAAAGACCCAGATTGGTGCTGAGTGGGACTAAATAAACCTAGCTAGGTTGGCACTTCAAAAAATAATCACTGAACAAGATTAACAGATTTCATGCAAATTGTTTATTTGTTTCTGATCAGTGTTTGGGTTATCAGCTCATTAACTCTGTCACATACATAGCTGTGATTGTTTTTCTTAAGGAGAGAGAATGTCCAATACAAAAATACTCTTTATCATCTTCTAAAATATACACATGTATCAAATATTTACTTTTTCCATCTTAGATGCCAAACCTAAAACCTAATAATACAGTTTGCCTTGAGTTTGTTTTTGGCAATTAGTACTGACTGAAGAAACTAATACAAAATTCCAAAATACATTCACAAACCACTTCCCACTATTGTCAAGTAGTCAACAGTTCAGAAATCTCCTCTTTCATCTGTCAACCACCCCTTGATTCATATTAAACAATATTCCTGTCTCTGTACAACCATGTAAACTCTACTTCTTTTGGCAAATTTTACTCTTTAGTGAATTATTAATAAAGAAAAATTATAGTTTCCCCAAAAAATTTGGGATGTCCTACAAAGGCTGTGGAATATTTGTTTTTACTCAATAATGCAAATGCGCTTCTGCTCTTTGAACTTGTCTTGGCATTTTGTGATGTTGTGTGAAACTGTTGAGGAATCAAAGTGGAAAAAAAATATGTCTATAGTATAAGTTCTTTGTATTTCCTTAAGAATAGAGGAGGAAAATAAAACATATGACATTAATTTGGGGGGTATTGGTTAATAGAATCAGATCTAGATTTTGAGACCTGCCAGAAATAATATTTCTTAAGAGTTTGGTTTAAGCCATTTGAATAGACAAGAAGCAAGAATAGTAGCTAGAAAAATACAGGAAGTGAAATGGTATTGTACAAAGAATGTTGACTCTGGAAATGAGATGAGCTATCATTTGTCACTTTTTTTTCCTCACTCTACTTCTGTATCTGTCATTGGAGTTTCTTGCCCCAGACTTCTCAGTGGTTATAACCCTTTGGGGGAGATTTTTTCCTCTACTTGCTAGATATGCGTGGATATTATGAAGCTGGATAATATTTTAAAATATAGAACTATATATAGAATAGGCATGGCCATTTTACAGCATCTTGGGGAGAGCTATCTTTTTTTTTTTCAATGGACGTTTATAAAAAGCATTGGGAAGCCCTTTCTTTTCACTAGCGTCCTTTAATTCTGGGATAGCAGGGGAGTTCTTTACCACGAGCGCCACCTAGGAACCCAGACTTAATTTTTTTTCTTTTGATAAATTGGATTTAATTACTTTTTGGATTAGTAATTTAATAAATCAGAGTACTTATTGTACTAAATATAGTGCTTAGTTAGAGCCATGATAAAGAGGAGCTCAAAGTCTTTATTTCAACAGATTTTATTATATGTTTTGGAGAATGCTCTATTTCAGAGACTAATACTTATTTACATTTGTGTAGGTTTGATAAGCAATCTAGATCTATTTCTTCAACCACCCCTCAAAAGTTAATACTAAAGTGTATGTTTTATTTTTTCTCCTTCTCCATTCTTAAGGAAATTCAAAGAACTTACATTGTAGATTATATTTTTCACTTTGATTCCTACACAGTTTCACACAACATCACAAAAGGCCAAGACAAGCTTAAAGAACAGGAGCATATTTGCATTATTGAGTAAAAACAAATAACCCTTATCTTTCCGTGGCCTTTTTGTAATTCTTTTTTTGTGTGTGTGAAACTGTAATTTTTCTTTATTAATCATTCACTAATGAGTAAGATTTGCCAAAGGAATTAGAGTTTACAATGTTGTACAGAGACAGAAATATTGCTTAAAGATTGCTAAAATATTACTTAAATATTGCTAAAGGTTGTATAGTGAAATAGTATATGATTATAGTTTATGTGAACTGAAATGTAATAACATATTTAAGCATTTTCAAAACCTATATTGACAGTATACATAGGAAAGGTTTAAGTGTCCATACTATAGAACCAAGATGATAAATGTGGAAAACAGCCCAGTGATACATTTCTGTTCGTTTGCTTGAGATGTGTGTCATAAATCATGATTTATGAAGATTTTCTATTGATTTCAAAGGTCTTTCCAAGTGAACGGTTTAAATGACTGATTCCTATATTATTCTAGATATTTAGCCAGAAAATGTTCTTCTATTTTTCTTGGTAGACCTGAAATGATTTTAGTGCACCTTGTTTAATGAAAATGTTTTTGTTTTGTTCACTTTGCTTATTAAATAAACTGGCATAAATGCCTAGATTTCCACAATATTTATTTTATACACTAAGAATTGCTGATTTGTTTCACTCTTGAGAATAACACCAAATGTTTCAATTTGAACATTTTTCATTCAAATAGACATTTTAATCTAAAGTTTAACAAGTAAGATATACAAGAGAGAAAATCAAATGTGAACCAAGAGAAACAGAGTGGGGTGCAAACTCTCCTTGTCCGACTTAGCGGCTTTCTCTAGGCTCTCGAGTGTGTGTTTGTGTGTGTGTGGCTGTGCACGCAGATGTGAGCACAGGTGCCTGTGTGTGTCCTGTTCAAGGACACATCTTCTTGTTGAGAGCTCACCTCTAGAATCAGACTGCCTGTACCTGGATCCCAGTTCCACCTCTTTCTAGTTGTGTGACTGTGGGCCACTTACCAAGCCTCTCTGTGCTCAGGTTCTCGTTTGCTAAAAGGGCAATGGCACCAATATCATGAGGTTGTTCTGGGGGTTCACTGGGTCAGAATCTAAAACTCACTGAACGTACCTGGCAGATGTCACTCTTCTGCTCAGAGCCTTGAGATGCTGTCGGATAGCCTCGGCCTGCTCCCGCTTAGGAAACACGCTGTGTCTGATTCCTTTGCCTAGCGTGTGCTTCCTCCAGGGGTGCTTGGCTAAATGTCTCAAGGTCACTGCCCCCGCGTCACCTTCTCACTGATGGTGGCCGTGATTACTCTTTTAACACTCCAGGCTGCCCGTCCATCGTGGCTGCTGTGCTTTCCCTTCCTTTCCATAGCCCTAATCACTCTCTAACCTAAAACATATTTATTATAGTCATTGTTTATTCTTACTACTTCCTCCCCTCCAGATTGTAGGCCCTGAGACGAGAGTAGTGTTTTTATGTTTTAATACATTTTGAGAGATTAAACAAGAACATTACACACAGTAGGTGCTTAGTAACGATTTCTGAAGTGAGTTAAGGTAAAAATGAATGAATCTATTATAGCTGCTTCTAATTTTAAGTAGGAAGACTCTCTAACGTTTAAAGTTGCAAATGGTAGGTCATTTAAAATGAAAATTGTGTATATTTATAAAAATACTATATCAAAGATAAATGTATTCTGGATTCTTAGGTGGTCATGATATTGAACTATAGTTAGTTTGTAGTTAGTTTCAGAGTGGTATGTAGTGAAACCATCAGACCTTATCTGGACACATGAAATTATTTGCCTCATCCTCACTGATCCCTGACTATATTCCTTTTTAGTCTTTCATGAAACATCTGAGAAAGAAACAAAATGCATGTGAAAATGTAGGTAAGAAATTACATAGATGTTAGAGTATTAGAGACAGTGATAACAAATCTTTCTGAACTAAACTGAGAGTTATTTTGGGAATTTGGGAGATTATGACCCCCACAGAGGATCATTTGTCCTTCTGCTTTTCATTTTGTAGGAGAAAGTCAAGAATGTGTCCACTTGTTGTTTAGATGAACTTGCTCCTTCCTACAGGACCCACAAGTCAAATTGCAAAATCTCTGGGCACATGCTTTTTGAGTGACTTGCCTGTTCCCTTTGCAGCCCCTTGCCAAGGTTCCCGTGACCCCTGCCACACACATTGCTTTTGGAACCCTCTTCCATTAAAGACATTTGCCTTCCCCCTTTCCAGGAAACATCATTTCCTTCTGGGAGATTCACTGTGAAACTGGGACAGTTTGCAGCTTTTCAGCCTGGGGTTATAAATCTTGAGAAGTATAGAAGAAGTTTAA